TGTGCCAGCAGACCTATGTATAAGCTCTGTTTAAGCTTCTGAAGTTCATCTCGACTGCATCATTTTGGAAGTGCCTGCTTTAGCAGCTTAGCTGTCAAAGAGGGATTGACAAGCCACTGGAAGTGGTCACCTTTCCAGCTGGCGTAGTGCTCCCAGAAGAGGCTATGCATCTGTCCCTTGAGAGACAGACTTAAAAAATGTTTGAAGCTTTGGCAAACTCAAATGCAAAGAATGCCTTAAACATAGTGCAAGATTACCGATCTGAATAAGTAACTAGAAAAGTTGTTCTGCATGTACTAACCTGGGTAGATTTTCATTAATGTGTCTCATAGGATCAATTGGAGGTAATGCATCCACATAAGTAAAGACGAGCGAATAGGATTTCACTCTGAAGTACAGAAGGCGCTATCCAAAATTGCAAAGAGAATATGGCAAAGCATGTCTTTGCTACTTCTTCCAATAACAACAGAAATATTAACGATGTATTCACCTTACATAAAACATAGAATTTTCAAGTCCAATATGGAAATTTTTCCTCCTCTTGTGTGTGTCTGAAGGTCTTCAGGCCCCAGCCTCTTGGCTGCTGTTTTCAAATAAAGTAACAGTGATCTCTCAACTACTGGCATGGTATGTGTTTCTCACAAAGGCTTCATTTGCTTATAGGAGCTAAATGCTGAACTGTTATGCAGATTTGCATAGAGTGCAAGGACTTTGATCTTGACAAAACACATATTTTGCAGAACAATCCTGGAAGTGATTAAAACTTGCATAGACAAAGGTGGTGTTTGTATCGGCGAACTTTTCTTGCTACTTCTCATTCTCTCCCCACCCCTTTGCTTCCCCCTCACCCATCCACTGTTTATGTCATTGCTGCAGCTAGAAAGATCTTTGTTGCTTGCAGATGCTGTCACCTGCATAACAAAGCAGCGATCGAGTTGTATCATTTCTGAGCCTTCAGAAGTGTTAACAGATGTGCCTATTCTTGAAAGCCAAAGAAGGTGCTGTAAGAGGAGAAAGCTAAACTAGCTGTAGAAGCTGCAGAAGCTAAGAGAGTCTAAATGTAGATGGTAGGATAAAAGCCTGGATTTCTTTTTATCTTAAAGCTTCTTAAAATTGAAAACTGTTTTTTATGTTCCAAAGCTATTTGAACTATGTCAGTAGATTTGGAAGGAAGCTTGGTCTGCGTGAGATACGCTGATATAGCTGTAGTATTGGAAATACGTAATTGGGGTGTGTGTCACACTTGTACATAACTTTCACTGATGCATTCATGCTTAGTGTTTGCTCAAGGGCAGAGTTGTGCTGAAAATCTCACATGGGAAAGGTGTGATTTCAGAAGTCACTTCAAATTATATTAAGATATTTGTGAGCTTTAGGTTGCACATGAAGAAAAACTTCTTCCCCAGGAGGGCAGTAGAGCAGGTTAGCCAGAGAGATGTGCAGTCTTTGCGCAGGGAGGTTTTCGGGTCAGCCCCAATCTAGCATTGCAAATAGCTCCCCTTTAAGGGGTAGGTTGGACTGGATGACCTTCAGAGAGAGATCCCTTCCAACTGCTGTTTCAATGAGTCTGAAAAGATGCTTCCAACCCATTTCTTCAGGATAATCTTGTGAGAATAAGCTTGCCTTGGAGTATCTGTTTTATTGGGACACTGAAATAGTTAATATGTGAATTAAGTCATGTATAAAATAGTGGGGCATGTATGTTTTCACTCTGTCAAGATGAAAGATCAAATTGTTTTTCATTGGCACTGGCTGTACTGTAACCCACAAATGACTAACCTTCAGGAGTCCTGAAGTTAACTTCCATAGATTTCTGACAGGGGTTGGCAGAGTTTAGGGTAGTTACAGGGGTTCTTTTCAGTCAGAAGAATAGAGAAGCAACACTGTTTTTGAGCACAGATAACACAAAACGTGTTGAAGGTAAGACTGACACATAGACTTTGACAGGTAATATGTTCACCCGTATGGACTTCCACAAGTAGTTTACCAATTAAAAACAGTGGAAAGAAAAATTAGATGTATTGTGACGTAAACCACAGGATGGTGTTAATGTAATGTTCGCCTTTTCTTTGCATTAGTCATGTTTTAAAATATTTGGAAAATGCTGCTGGTTGTTATGAGTAGGCTGAACAGCTTTCTGTGGGCTTTCCAGCATATCACAGTATTAATTTAAGCTTCAGGTCAGAATTAATCATTTTTGTCTCTCTCCCCTTCTAACCATCCCACAACAGACACGTTGCATTAAGTGTTACAGCTCTGCCTGCAAATAAAAAAAGTCCTGTCAATCAGAGCTGTCAGTCAAAGTCCAAAATGTCTGCCCTACCACTTCTACATGAAAAAAGAAATCCCAGCAGGAGGTTGAAGAATGAAAAGTGTAATGGGAAGGCTTTCTATGCGACAGCATGGGAAGAACTAGTATTTTTGCCACATTTTTGTTGTATTTCTGTGGTGCCCATTCATGGGCACTACAGAAGTGATTGATTTCCATATGTAAGGGAAGGGTACTAAGTCCTAGTCTGTATCCTTAGCGGGCTTTATGAAGCTGTTTTCACCCTTACTGGGTAAGACAAAATAGGGGAAACTTACATGTACAAATCCCAGCCAAAGCTGTTTGATCCTGAAGTTGCAGAGGACTGTGCTGTTTTGATTGCTGCATGTTTTAATATAAGGTTTTGCTCTAATGCTGTAATCATAGCCGTGGTAATTAAACTTGTTTTCCCAAGGAAATCTTGAAGACAATTTCCTCAGTTCCAAAGCATATTCTTAGTAATAGCTTCCCTGCAGTTGAGGTGGGAACAAAATCTAATTTGCAGCTTAATATTAAGAATTTAAATGATAGAATGATATAGTGAAGTACAGTGATCTCTGCATTCATAGATACATGGCTTGAATGTGCTTATATGCCAGGGAGTTTCAGAAATGTATGGAACTGCATTTATAGTACGTACTAGAGTGCATAGTAAAGAATTGAACTCTACTTACTGGTAAGATATGCTAGTTGTAAAGAATAAAGATACTTTTTTTTCCTCCAGTTTCACCATACTGTTTAAACCAAGGAGCCTTTCTTCTAAGAAAACGTTCCTTATTAGAAAATCCAAAGCTTTCACAATAGACTTTGATCCTTACTGTAAAATGAAGGGAGGAGGAAAGCTTTCACACTGAAATGCTAATAATGTTCTCTTTGTTAGTTCCTTTTTATTGCATATTAAGTGGATCTTTGCCTGTCAGTCCAAATTCTGCTTTGTAGGTATCTACCTTCCCATAATACAGTCACCTTTGGTGTGTTTGTTGTAGGTGCACTGTTAATATATTGTTTCCATATTCTTAAATGGTGCAAACCAGAAGAAGCAGTGCGACACTGGATTTATTGTATGAGCAATAACTACTCTTCAGACACCTAATGATTACATGATTGGGTTTCTATGTTGTGGTTTGATAAATGGAATGCTTGTGTTGTATTCCAGTCTCTTCAACCTCTCTTCAACCTCTCCAGGAAAAAAAAAGAAATTAAAATCTAATTTGCTAGAAAGGACCGATACCTTTTAGGCGGGGGTGGTTTGGGGTGGTGGTGGTGGGAAGGCAAGTCTTTCCTAGCAAATTATGCTGGACTTGTGCATTTTTATAGTACTTTTAAAAGCATGATGACAAGGTCAATAGTCCTGTATGCGTTTTCAAGTTATTTGCAAGTTGCTGAATACCAGGCCTTCTAGATTTTTTTTTTTTAAATCTGCTTATTTTTATTTATCCTTTCTAAGTCCATTCAGTGGTTAGATGTCACTGCAGTGAGCTTCTGGGCATTCTGCCAAGTCTTCAGTATTGTCAGGATGCTGGATAAAAGTACAAAGAAAAATGCTTGTCTGTGTTTCCTTGTAAAATTCTGCAAGTAGTGTATAGCCTCAGAAATAAGACCACCCTTATTGAAGTAAGAGCAGAACTAGATGAAAACAGGACTGACTCTCACTTTCTCTATCTGTACAACTAGTTAGAATGTAGAGTTCACTTTGACATGTAAGAACTGCAAATGTCCACAAATTAAGAAGAAAGTCTGAGCTAGAGCTGTAGGCTTTTGGCAGCTAAAGGTGTCTGTGTTTAATACTGTAAAATTGTGTAACAGCGTAACTGTTAAGATAAGTGAAGATAAGACTTTTCTGAAGTATTGAAACCAAACAAAAATGTTTTGAAATTTTAGAAGCTCACCATTATCATTGCCTCTCTTACAATTGATCCTGTAGTTAGACTGACATGTTTTGCAGAACCTTGTTCCTATGCACTACAGTGTATGGTTTCCACAAATGTTGTTATCCTTCTTTTAAAAAAATCTCTTTGTGTATTTTTTAAAGTTGGTTTTATATTGCAACCTGACATTCATTTGAGTCAAATCTAGTAAGATATAGGAGCATATAGGGGAGGGGACTAAACATTTTCTTGTCATAGAATATACTATGGTCAAGCTGATTGTTCATTTCCCAGGTTAATTTCTGTATAAACGTGATTTCTCTGTATTGAAAAAAACCCAAAATACAGATACTCACTTGCAAATCTGACTTGAGATGGAGTGAGTGCCACATACCTTCTTGTACTCTTTTTTTTTTAGTATGTTTTGCTAGATACATTGCACTGCAAAGAACAAAGTAATGTAGCTGCAGAATTTTCCCCTTGCATTTTTGGGAAGATATTTATAAATTAATCTGAATGGAGATTTTTATGCTTTGATAAGAATTGAAGGGAAGTATGTGTGCATGCTTTGGACTACTTGCTAGGCAGATTATATTCTGTTGTAAGTTACAGACTTTTTACATGAGAGTTTGAGAACAGCCATGCTGTGCCTTCTCAGAGAATAGATAGGATTTAAGCCTCTGACACTATAATGACATAAAAACAAAAGTGATTTTGTTTTTCCTGTAGGAAAATAAAATACAGAAGAAAGGAATTTAAACTTGATTTGTTTGATGTTCTCATGTAACTGCTTCTTTTTACTAATTTCCTCTCTTTCTTCCAAGTTTGTGCTGAAGCTTTCAATCCAGATGAAGAGGAAGAAGATACAGAACAAAGGGTAAGAATGAGTGAATTGCATCATGCATAGTTCTCTCTACAGTTTGACAGGCAGATGTCTGTACTTCACGTTTTCCCTACCACTTGTGCATTTTGTTCTGAGAGGCTGTGTGGTATGCTGACATTGACAAAGTGACATTGCTCTGAAATTTAGGGCCACTTTGTCTCATGCACTTTTTGTCACTATAGCTTTAATATCACTTTACTTCAAAGGACTCGAGAGCTGTGCTTAAGTCTACCATCTTTAAAATTTTGGATATTTTCCTTCCTTAATTATCTTAAACGCTTGTTGAGGCAATTCCTAGAGCATCGATGCTATTGTGAAGAATTAGTTAAGCTTTACCACAGCTGTTTCTTCATGGGCGCTTAAAATTCCTCACATGCTTTTTACTGTCTTTCTGGTCAAAGCAGTTCTGTCTGGGTAGGAGAAATACTTTGTTGAAATATTTTGAGACTGTGGCCACCTGTTTTTCTATTGGTTTTGAAAGTTGGGAATTTCTAGGAATTGCAAGTCCAGATACTGTAATTGTATTTCTTTAGAGATGCTTTTATGTGAGCAAATTCTGTAGCCTAGCTGGTGAGGGTCAATGTTTTCCCTCTGGATTTCTGGTGTTCCTTTTCCAGATCCATCTCAAGGATGCTTACACTTCTGCAATGAAAATCTAAATCTAATTTAATTTCTCTTAAAAAAGAAGGTACTTCATAAATAAGATGCTATAAAAAGAAAAAAAGACTGTGATTGTGTCTTATCATCCAAATGTTTGTAAACCTGGATACATTTATTCCATCAAATGTCTTAATTTTCCTGACTGCTGATTCAATATTAAATTTTCTTTTAAAACAAGGGTCTGAGATCTGCTCAACTTTGGACAATGAATTTTTATAAATGCCTACTAATGTAACTGTTTTTTGGAATCCATTATTCCAGAAATGTAGTTAACCTGGTGAATGTGGGGTAATTAATATTTTTATATATGTTTTCATAATTAGCCCCCAACAAGCACATATATAAATGTTTTTATGACACAGTAAGTGTTGGTTCCTTTAACCTGACGAGATGTTTATAACAGGAAAGAAGTAACAAAAAAAATCTCTCAAACAACAAAGCTTTTATTTAACTAATTTTGTTGGGGGGGGGACGGGATGGACACACCAAACCCCAAACAACCCCCAAAACCCCTGCTGCTTAGATAACTTCTGTTATTAGATGGGCTGAGATGCGTACGTATCATAAATCTTATAAACTACTTGTATGCGAACAGTAAGTATATTGGGACTAATACAGCCAGAGCTTAGAAAGAAAACTGTTGACTTTTTCCTCTGTTCCAATCAAGCCTTGACTGTATCTGTGGCTGGGTTAGAAGGGAAAGGAAAAGGCATCCTCTTCTTTCTTGTCTTTCTTGACTGTTATTTTGCATGTGTTAATTGTCAGCATAATATGTTTGTTATGTCTCTCTCATTCTGTTTTGCATTCTATGTTTAGATATAAATACTGTTTATGCAGACAACAAAAAAGAACTATATACTTTGACACTCTTAAATTGTGTTCTGTTTTTTCACTCTGAAGTGAAGGTTCAGTCTGTAATCGTATTTCTTTGTTGTCATGACAGTTTTGTTTTACTTTGTTTTATAGGTAGTTCATCCAAAAACTGATGAACAGCGATGCAGACTGCAGGAGGCATGTAAAGATATCCTACTCTTCAAAAACCTAGATCAGGTAATATGATTCTAAGCAACTCTTAGCTGGAGTTGATGGTTTGTAGGAACAGGTAACAGCAT